GAGATGAAACAAGGAGCAACAGCAGAGACCTGGATGATTTTTAACTACATTCCTTAAGTTTATCGTGGTGGTGTTTCAGGTCACTGAATAGACTGGGCATCTTTTCCCAAAGTGTCTGGGTGCATGTATGCACTTTTTTATATACTGAACATTCAGTTAGGAAAACAAACAAACAAACAAAAAACCCCAAACTTGGTTTAGGTCACTCTGGTTCACACAGCAAATTTACAGGAATTCTGACTACCTGTTTACTGTAGGCTTCGGTGACAACAAGTCTGTTCCCCATATTAAAGGAATGTCTTTAAAATAATTTTTTAAAAGTTAGAAAATGCCAGAAACTGCCTGCTTATTCATCTTGAAGTGGTGTATATGTATGACCAAGGGTGGATGGATGAATGGGTTGATCAGTAGGTAGAATGTTTATGGGAGTCAGTCCTTATTTGCATAGGCACTCAGTATTTTCTCCGTGGAATATCTGCTCAGTAGATGGGTCACCAAGGACTATGAGCTTGTGTATGATACAGGTTAGGCCAGCTCTAAAAACTGCAGTTGTACCTCATGTCTTCAAACACAGGGTGCATCCAACTTCAAAGGTCTTAATTCGCACAGTGCTAGGCAGACCACTACTGTTCAGGAACTGTTTCCAGACAGTAATCTAAATAAGATCAAATAGGATTTCACAGCAACTTTGATATTAAAGGATTTGCAGTGGAAAAGCTCTAAAAAACTTTACAATACTTTAGTAAAGCGGGCTGAGAAAGAATGTTAAAGGGAAAGTAAGTTTTTAATTTCTAGTCTGAAACTGCAAAGCCAGGTGGAAGAGATGACTTGTAGTAGTCTCATTCCTTGGGTAAAAGCACTGGATACAGCAGTTTTGTTGGCTCTCAGCTGTGACCCTGTATCCAAGGCAACTGTTTCTGAATGTTAGGTGGTGAGGAGCTATAGAATAAATGAGAGGCAGTTGTGAAATATACAGGTATGATTCTCAGAGGAAATAATAATGAAATGCCAACAGGTGGAAAAGGGTTGAAGGAAGCACCAGAACCCAAACATGGAATTCAGAATAGGATGTTTTGTTCCTTGATGCCTTATACATGTTAATCAATGAAGACCAACCAGGACTGGAAAGCTATGAAGTAAAGCAAGTGTGGAACAGACATGAAACAAAATTGGTTGCTCTTTGTTTCTCTGTGTTCTGTAACCCCCATCTCTTGGGGACCAGTCCTGTAAGAGCTTAGTCTTTATGTTGCAAGAACTCTGGAAGAAGAATTCTGGTTATAGTTGTTATTGTTTATTTCTGAGGAATCATTTGTTTAAAAAGTTTTATTCAGCCATTTTAGTTTCTTTTATTCCTTTAAATATAACTACATTATATTTATGTGGAGGTGTAGATGTGATGCTGCTCTGATGATCTGTGCTGTTTCACTCTAGTATTTAAAATTACTGTCTCGGTGTGCAGATTTGCTGTGTGAGCAAAGTCCCATAGCAGGACACCTGCATAAGAAGAACAGGAGTGGCTGAGAGAGACAGGGACACATTATGCCATGGTAAAGGCTGGAACACCTTTTTTTGTGTAGTTCTTGAGGTGACTAAAACTTTTTTCCATCTCTGGATAAATGCATCTTTACTGGAAAACTGTCAACCCTTTTAATCTCAAACTATAGAAAGACAAAGCCATTAGCCTGAGAGGAGAGCTCATAGGTACTAAAACTGCTATTCCTTTTTGTCTTCTGGCATCTACTATCTCTTTTACCCTAAGAAAATGGGTAAAAGAGAAGAGAGCAAGAACAACAGGAAGCATGTCACAAGTTTGCCCACCTGTACTACCTCTTGAGTCCATCACCAGCCTAAGTAATTTAAAACTCCAGAAGAGCAAAATTGTAACCACAAAACCTGTTAAACAAGTCAGGATGAGGGTCTCATTTATTGCCAGCACTTCCTCATGAGAGGCTGCTGAGGAGAGTTTTTATCAACTCATCTCTACTAATTCTGTTTGGGCAGGAGAAGTATCAAACACACGAAATTAATGCTGCCATAGAGCTTGTATTTGAACTGGAGGGTCAGAGTGAGGCAGAATTAGCATGAGGGAGGTTGAAATACTGCATCTGAGCCACACAAAGTCAACCCCAAGGTACCTGTATAATGTGTACCAGGGTCATGAAAAACGTAAAGCACCATTGCGATTTTTTCCTTGTACTGTCTCAGAGGCACAGACATTTCTGGATTAATTTGTTTCATCCAGGCATTATTGATATACCTTAGCCTTGAGTGGGGCTGAGCTGAGAGATGATGTACAGAACAGACCAAGACTAACCCCTCACGGTCCAGGTGAGGCCAAAGGGACAAACACGGCTGGCAAAGGAAGACCCTGCGTGGAGAGTATGTGAGTGCACTTCCCTCAGCCAGCTGTTGACCTGAAGTTACTGGGGCATGCTTTAGTGGTGGGCTTGGCAGTGCTGGGCTAGCAGCTGGACTCAATGATCTTAAAGGTCTTTCCAACCTAAATGATTCTATGATTCCGTGTTTTCCTGGTCTCACCTTTTTCCTGGTTTATATGTTTCTTAGCACTCTCGTTGCTGTGATGGGTCCTTTCACCTTGCACAGTTACATACTGAATTTTGGTGACATTATGCTTCAGAAAATCTCGACAAAACAAACAACATAAAAAGTGTAAAACTTCAACGCCTCTCATGAATGATCACCGAAAATACCAAAAAGCTTCAGCACATTTACAAGTTGATCCAAACTGTCACTACCTCTTTTTTTTTTCCTAATTAATAAGTGTGTCTAGCCATATGTGAGACAATAAACCCATTTGTTTTGATGGTGATGTTCACATGCTTGCTGTGAAGCACATGTTTAAGTGCTTTGCTGACAAGGCTCAGGCGAACAGATGCCTTTTCCATAACAAGCTGGCTGTGTATCTCTAACTGGCAACCACAACAGGCTCCTCAGATTCTTCTGAGGACCAAGCATTAGTGGATATTCATCATTAAATGAGAAGGCCCCTGCTAGCAGCCAGCCCAATCCAGAGAACAGGTCTATCCCACAGAGGAGGAGGAACTAGGAAGAGCTTCCCAATGACCCATGTTAAGCCTGGGACCCCAAGGCAGGCTTCTTGAGGTCTGCTCAAAGGTGATCTTTTTTGACTCTGTGAAATGAAGATACAGTGGGTCCAGAAAACAAAATATAATTACCTCTTTGGTAATGCATTCTGGTAATACTGTGCAACTTTTTCACTGACTTTTACAGAAAATACTCTTTATACTGTGAAGGTACTCATCATAGAGTCATAGAATGGTTTAGGTTGGAAGGGACTTGAAAGGTCATCTATTCACAACACCCCTGCTGTGGGCAGAGACACCTTCCACTAGACCAAGTAACTCAAATTATGTAGTATAGTCTGAATTGCTGGCACACAGCTGTTTCCAAGTATGCCAAATCTCTTGTGAAAGCAGGACCACCTTTTTCACCATCCACCTTCATGTTATTGAAAAGATATGTCCAAGTTTACTTGTCATGAGCATTTACATTTTTTTATCAACCAGTGCAAAATTCTCTACCAGTGAAGTAGGAAGGGAACACAGATAAACTTCCCAGAAAGATGCAGCCATTGCAAAAATAAAACAGTAGATTTCAAGCAGCATCCCAATTCGTTATATGTAGGAAATATTTTCCTGTTGCTGTTTGAAGGTGCATCATGGATTTAATGATTTCATTATGCTCTATAATTACTTCATTGCACTCTATGCTAGAAGTAGCTCCTTTTTCTTTACAAACTTTTATTTATGTGGTCTGATATTGGTGTTTACCTCCTTGAATATTTTACTTGTTCAGTATTTTTGTGGAACAGTAATTTCAGCCTGTAGATTTTTCATAAACCATTAGTTTAGATTACATGCGGTTATTTATTCATGGGACATGAGCAATCACCTCGATCCTGTCAGTGTGCTTTTTGCCTGAATCACCAAGTGTTCTTACAAGGAACAGTAGTAGAACAAGGGCAATACCTGCAGAATTGAGTTTCAGAAGCATCTTCCTGAGCTATTGCGTGAAATATATGTAAATCATTTCCATAATACAACTGCTATCAGCAAATAACATGGAGTAAACCTATTGTGTTTATTTGCATGCAAATTTAAGATAATTTCTGCTGTTATTTAACCATCTGTAGCTACAAGGTATTACTGCTTATTTATAAAATTATGCGTATGAGTAATTTCATAATAATGAGTAATATTACAGTAAGTAATTCTTATAAAGAAGAGGTGAATTAATATTATTGCTGCATCTTCCCCAAGTGTGTATACTCTGATTTTTCTGTTTAACTGTGCAGCAGTGTTTTTACCTGCTGTAATTATCAGTCTGTGAGTTCCTAATGCTCCCAGCCTGCCAAGCAGCTCTGCAGTGTGATGGCTTTTCGTTCCCTCTGTGATGATACCAGGTGGGCTAGTTGCAGTTGGGATTTGGATAAGACTTTAAAATGCTGTTATGATTAAAACAATATTCGATATATGGGAGGTGAGTTATACAGCCTGAAAACTTCCCTCTTCTCAGCGGGAACGATATAATTGGACCTCTGTAACAGAAGTGTTACACTGGGTTACAACTTGTGAACAGAGAACTTAAACTTTCCATCAGGTCATGCTGGGCTGGCATGTGTGAGAGAGGTGAAGTGGTCTCTTCACCTCATCCCACCTTGAAGAGGTTTGGGTTCAGTGATCCTTCCACCTGTGTTTACAGAGTGGTGTTGCTCTGTTAATACACTGCTGCTCGTATGTGCAAGGATTTTTTTCTTGCTTTCAAGTTTTAATCATCTTGCTGAGCTTTCTGGTGCCTTCTTACTCTTTACAGAACTCGGTTTTATGTTGGCCTAAGCTGATCTAGAGATAGCACTGCTTTAGTCCAGTGAGATGAGACCCTTGTTAAATTACATATATCCTGAGCTTACGAGTGGAAACCTATGTAGTTAACATTGCCTGTTTATCTCCACACCACAGGTTTTGGAATGACCACACCAGCAACTGTGGCTGGAAAGGTATTCCTCATTGTTTATGGCCTTTTTGGGTGTGCCGGGACTATCCTGTTCTTCAACCTCTTCTTGGAGCGCATTATCTCCCTCCTGGCATTTATCATGAAGGCGTGCCATGAGAGACAGCTGCGAAGAAGTGGTCTCCTACCTCCCAACTTCCGAAGGGGGCCAGCTATGTCTGGAGTGGGCAGCCTCGTGGGCTGGAAGCCATCCGTTTACCATGTGTTGCTGATTCTGGGAATATTTGCTATTGCCCTTTCCTGCTGTGCCTCCGCAATGTACACGGCGGTGGAAGGATGGAACTACGTTGATTCCTTGTACTATTGCTTTGTCACCTTCAGCACCATCGGCTTTGGAGATTTGGTAAGCAGCCAAAATGCTGCCTACCAAAATCAGGGATTATACAGATTCGGAAACTTTGTATTTATATTTATGGGGGTATGTTGCATATACTCTCTTTTTAATGTCATTTCAATTGTAATCAAGCAAGTTTTGAACTGGGTGTTGAAAAAATTCGAATGCAGATGTTGCCCAAAGTGCCATAAATCAAGTACCCGCCTCAGCCGTCGCAACGCCATCACCCCAGGAGCCCGCCTGCGTCGACACAACATCTCAGTGGACACTGATGGACAGTACGACAGTGACACTGAGGGGAGGAGGCTCTCTGGAGAGATGATCTCCATGAGGGAGCTCACGGCATCAAATAAAGTCTCCCTGGCCATTTTGCAAAAGCAGTTGTCCGAGACGGCCAACGGCTACCCGAGGAATGTTTGTATCAATACGAGACAAAACGGTTTCTCTGCAGGGGTGGGTGCTCTAGCCATCATGAACAACCGCTTGGCAGAAACAAGTGATTCTAGGTAGAGTTTTTGAAATTCTTTTTGTTTCTCTAATAAAAATAAGATGGTGTTTAGGCTGGAATTATCATTTTAAGCTACTGGAAAGTTTTAAATTCAGACACAGCCTTGGTATTCATTGGGCATTCAGCATTTTAGTCTCTGGGGGTTTTATAAGTTTTCTCTAATATGCATTGAGAAATTTATCATCATGTTACAGTTTTCCCCTGAGGGGCTTTTGGAAGAGACTTGGATGTCTTTGATGCAGAATCTGATGCAGTTACAGAAGGATGGTGTGCGTGGTAAGGATGGTGTCAAAACCAGTGTGTTCTTCTTCAGAACAGAGCCTAAACCCAAACTCTGTGTTAAAATGCATTAGGGGGGCAAGTTTGGCTCCATATTCAAGCTTGAGGTTGGTAAGGTTTGACTAAACCAGTGTGTCATGATTTGTTGAAGTCTGGATCTGGCCCTGAGCTTTGTGCTCAATGCTCTTCAGCAATTCCTCGTAGCAGGCCTGTATGTAACACACATGTAGGTGACAGCGGCCACACCACCTTTAGGGTGTTTGTGCTTCCCTTCAATAACCCTGACTGACTTCAATAGTAGAGGATTGAATGGGCTGGATTCCCCTCATACAAATAATGGTTTTTAGCCACTCTTGTCTGAAAGACTACCTACCACCTAACTCTTAAAAGTCAGGGGCTTATCAAGGATTGTATCAAAGTGTGCGAAACTATTCCTGCCTACTGAATAACTGAAAACAGGCAATTGTCATCTCCAGTCCTGACTTCATTTAATGCAAGAGAAGCCAGTATGCACCTCTGGTGTCAAATGTTTGCATCACCACTGAAATGCTTATTTCATTACTTTCACATTAAAATAAGTCACTAAAATGAATGCAGGCTCTCTGTTGTCCTAAATTTGCATCTTTTGCTTCTGCAGTAGTGTTACAGAGATTCATGTAAATTATTTCCTTGCAGTTTTTTGAGGGCTCCCGCCCTGTACTTGTTTCCCACAAATCTGATCGTGTAGATTATACAGAAGAGCACTGCTTTGGAGTTCCCCCCAAAAGCTAGCTTCCCCCAGAACGTTGATATGAAGTCACAAATTGGCCTTTGGCTGTTGCTACCATCTTAAGCCATATTTAACCTGTGGTAGCCCAAACCACTGAGGAACCAGAAGCAAATCTGCTGGTCTAGAGTGTCTAGTTTTGCGTATAGAGGGTGCAGAGGAATTACTGCAAATCTCTTTCAAAATATGTGCACAGCTCTGTGTCATTTCTCTAAATTCTCTCTACTATGCTGTGAAGTTAATAAAAAGGCTTCTGCTGATTCCAGGCAAGAAACAAAACTTTAGCTTATATTCTGAGCCACAATGACCTGCTCTTGGAAACTTCTTGGGAAGTTATAGACAAGACCATGAGTAACTAGGTTGGTCACTGAATAAATTGAAGAAGCTGATGAAAATAAACTGGGAATATTAGAAATTACTGAAAATATTTCCATGAAGTTTCATATAGGCATTTTACTCTGCTTTTTTTTACTTTGCTTTGCCTGGGTTTGGGGTAGCCATCATTTTTGACTTCCTTTAAATTTGTAGTAGTGCAAAACATTTTGGAACTTTAATTTGAGGTTTTGCACACTTGAGCCTGACAGCTGAAGTATGGCAATGATTGTATCTTTTTCTTGATGAGAGGGAATCAAAGCAACAGATAAACCATCACACATGGATCTGTATCACACTATAAATGTAGTCACAGCTTTTGTCAAGATGCATTTGGCCAGAAACACACAGTGATGATTGTGTTCTGTTTCTACCTGACACAGACTCACACTTAAGATTATGTGGTATAATAGGGTCAAGAGGCAGGAGCTTTCTTGATGGTAGAGAGACTCCCCAAGGTCCATGTGCCTTCCTATGTGTGCACCCATGCTCTTTGAAGAAGCAGGAAGAGTTCAAAGTGTTTGGTGATCCTAATTTGAACTCCACTGAAGGATAAATTCAAGCAAGATGTGTAGGGGCACGTCATGGTCTGGAGAAGACTCAAAGACTGGCTGCAAAAGTTGAAAGACCCATTTCAGGGAGGTGCCTTTCAGAGATGTAGGGGACATCTTTGAAAACAGCAGAGGCAGGAAACCAAAAGAATGAAAATTTGTTATTTTCCCTTGGGACTACCTCCATGGGTAAATAACCTTAACTGTGATGATTTATGTATTTGTTAATTAAAAGTGTGAATGGGACCCTGCTCTGTTTTTGCAGCTAGACTCTCAGGGTTATATCTTGGTACATTTGCCATCATGGGGGCTATTACTCATTAGAAGGGGCCCTACTCTGTGAAGTGTTATATAAATCAAGGCAGATGGGCTCTGTCCCAAAGGACTTAGGAGTTTGAATAGATAGGACCCCAAGCCACAGCAGAATTTGTTATTTTGCTCATAAAAATATGTGCAAACGCATTAACATTCTGCGAGCTCAAGAACTCTGTGGGAAAAAATTTGCAAATTAAGGTGGAGGGGTTTTCAGTAAGTTGTTTTTAAAGGATAAAAATAACTATGATTAGGGTCCTGTTTAAATGTTTGTAAATTGCTGTCAAAGTACCTATTCCTGCCTGGGAAATACAGTGATGTAATATGAAACTGTACGTACCTCCTCTGTACTTTTTCTGCATCTAGGCAAAGGCAGTCTGTTGTAATGTGATTTAAATGTTTCCAAGTCTGTCTGGTACCATCGTTTACAGTGGTGCCTTTGCAGGACCCTTTGCAGTTCCTGCTGACCCCGGGGGAAGTTGGACCAGGTCCTAGAGCTGGGCTTCTCAAGGGATTTGAGCATCTGATTGCTGCTCTGTGCACTTAGGTCTAATGTTTATTTATTCCCAAGATCCTTGATACACTCCATTCTGCTTCTCCTTAGCCTCAGAGGCATATAAAGTGCATGCTCAGTTGTTTACCAGTGCCCCTATTTCTTGCAGCGCACATACCCTGGAAGCTGCTACAACTCAACCACAGGGACACCCCCCCCCCCCCAGTTTGTATCTAAGCCCTGTAAAAATCCCATCTGGCTCAGCAAAGCCAGTTTATGAGAGGGTCAGAGCACAGTTACTGAGCTGAGTCTCACTGGGGAACGTCTGACAAAGGGTGTCCTTACAGTTCCCTCATATTCAGTAGCCAAAGTATTTTTCAAGGATGCATGAAAACCAAACTCCAAGTCTCTACTCTTCAGCCTGCTAACACTGCCTGGGCACCCATCACCTGTGTGCATGAGTACCTGAGACAAGAGGACATAGGAGATTTGAGATCAGTCATTCGTAGTCCCTTGGGCTCTTCCTTTAGTTTTTTCTTCATGACAGTTCTTCTTTAAACTTGCCAGACATGGGCACCTAACTCCTCTTTGATTGTGCATGGTCCGGCTCAAAATTCCCTGGGGCAGCCTGCTCCTTTTGTGAATTAACCCCTTAACATGCACCAACTGCACCAAGTGCAATTCCTCCTGATATTTCATTTTCACAGACAAAGCAGATACCAGCAATACCTGGACACAGACTGAAGCACAAGAAATCAGAAGGAAACTGAAGGAACAGAGTGGGACAATGAAAGCACACTGCACTATATTGCACTTTCTTTTCAGGTAATTTGGGAGTTGTACTACATTCTTGAAATTTATTTTTTTTCCCCGGGTTTTATTTTTTGATAGCCTTGAAAGAGTGCAATTAACGTAGGATTTAAAAGTTCATCTTCCATGATACAACCCCCTTGCCCTGCCCTGCAGAGGAGCAGCAGTGACTCCTAGTTGGCACAGACCAAGACATCCCAGTTGCCTGCTGAGAAGTTGTACAGGCAGTGCAGACCTGAGCTCAGACCCTATGCCCCAGATTAATCTTTTGCTTCCTGAGCCCAGGGAAGAGCATTCAGGAGCAGCAGAAAGCTACAGGACTTTGGACTTCTCTGTGAGCCAGCCCCTAGTGAGAGCAATGACAGCACATGAGTTGGTCAGACAAAGGAGATACCAAGTTCACCTGGCATGTGTGCTAATACCTTGCAGATGAAAATTAAAATATAGGTGAACATTAATGAGGGACAATGACCAAGCAGCATCTTCTCTTTCCCCTTGAGCTCAGGGCAGAACAATTACAAGGAATAGTTTCTTGTGAAAGCTGCAGCATTTGGCGTCACTACTTTTACTTCATGGGGTTTGTCTTCCCTCTTTGTGTCTTGGACAAAGTTTGGAGTCACACTGAGATGTCATCTGATTCTCTTTGGTTTCTTCCCATCTGCAAAGCACAGTTCTCATTTTGTGCAAAAAATTTAGATCATTTTTTATTTGCTTGCAATAAGGAAGGACGTCCTTCAGACTATACAGATGTTCAGAGAAGTAATCTCAGTGACCTCAGACGCAGATGGAAGTTTCTGAAGGACAAGGCTGCAGTTTGCCTGTCTCCCTGCAGAAGAAGCATTGCACAATAACTCCCATTACTGCTAGCAAGGCATGCAAATGTTGTTTAGGCAGTGGTTGGGGCCATGGAACAGGAGGCACAACTGAAAATGCAAAATGGGTATTTGTGCCTCTTTGATACGTACATGCTAATTAACAACCCAATTACCAGCTCTGTTTGCAACCAGAATTACTCCTGGAAGACAGGAGAGGTAAGAATCACATCAAGGCTTTCTGTGACCATCGTGTTCCAGCACTGCTTCAGCCTGAGTCTTTTCTCTTCCCCAGCTTTCTGTGGGTAAAAATGTGGGTATATTATGATCATTTACCCATATTTCAGTCATGTCTTAGCTTGTTACTGAAAGAAAGACTTATAGCAGCAGTGGAGGTCATATAGCCAGGTATGTGGGCAACTGTATAAACCTGATTGCCTATGTGGGATGAATTTATAATTATATGAAAATTAACTGTAGCAATGAGACCATTCTTACTTTTTAGTATTTTTCCAGCCTTTAACTTGAAAAATATTCAGTGACAAATCATTTCAATGAATGTTCAGAGCTAATCTAAACAAAACCATACTTTGCTGATTGCTAGCAAATCTATAGGTATGGCTTCTGCTCTAATTGGATTACTAATGTGCCTTTCCAAACCAACACACATTTGCAATTCTATATTTAAATAATACAATAAATGCTATTACATAACAACTTCAATTAGGGCAAATTAATACTTGACTCACACAAAACAACTAATGAAGTGTGTGTTGCTCATTGTATAACCAATGTGCAATTTCTTTTTTGTGTGAATATGTGCATATCTGAGCTCAAAATCTGCTTTCGTGAATGCTAGGAAAACAGAAACTACATTGTAGAAAATAAAGTATGGACAATTCCACTGAGATTCCACAAAGGATATGCATATTAGTACATACACAGTAAGTGGTACATTATGCATGATAAATATGTTGTATAGCAATGGCACTGAGGAAAGACTACTTCAGTCTACACAGCCACAGTCTGAATGCAGCTACCAATAAAGACAAGTGCTTTTTTTCTTTCTTGTTTTGTTTATTAAATAGGCAACATCCACCCTTTAATTAGAATAAGTCTTTAAACTATCAAAAGAAAATGCAATTGCCCTCAATTTTGCATAGCCAAAAAGAGGTCTAAAGTCAAATCCAAACTTTTAACTCTAAGGATCCAAAGTGATGTCATTTTGCTCTGCAGCCTTCCTATCATCTTCAGTCCTTCCTTGAAAAAAAAAAAAAACCCAGTAAATACAGATACATTTTATAGCAGAGTACCCAACAGTCTGGCGATTTAGCATGAGAAAAAAACCTACAAGCCAGTGTGGTGTTACCAAGGAATGAAAAGTGTGGGGAAAGGGAGAGGCTTAGAAATGTTCTCCAGCAAATCTGGCAGAAAACCAAAGACCTACTTTGTTCTCCATACATACGTGTGTTCTTCCCCATCACAAAATGGTGTGGCACCTGTCAGAGCACCAAGTAGCTCTTCTTGCATCGTGGGCTCAGCTACCTCGTCTGGAACATGAGAGAAGTTGTTTGTGAGACACAGGGAAGAGGGACAACACACTTACACTCACCATCTGCATGACATCCAGGAGGTGGACACTGCCAAGGGCTGATTTTAGGAAGATGATTGCCCACCCTCTTACTGAGAAAGCAGCCATGCTGATCCTTTACAGTGATGATCAATATTTTGGGTGTATTGGAGGTGCAGATTCCCATGTCTCCAGTCCCCCCAGTCCCAGGGCCTTGTTGTGCCCAGGTGTGTCCCAGACAGCTCCCAAGCCCAGACTCAGCATGGGGATGCAGGTAGCTTTAAAATTGTGTAACATCATCATCCCATGTGTTTTCAGGATTGGGCTCTCCAGCAGGTGGTGCTTTATCAAACAGTCTAAGAAATACGAAGGTGTTCCCGTATTCCTTTTGTACTTTGCAAGCTGTAACAGTACTTTTTAAAGCCAGTGAGTCAATGCAAGAGTAATGCTTTTATAACATACAATAAACAATGTGAAAAAATTACTGCTCTTTCTGACTGCAAATCAAACAGCCAGATTTTCTCAATGAGTATAATTTCCTATTCCATGCAAGTAAAATTATATCCAGAAAATTTTTGCTTGTAGTAACATCAATGTGCTGCACAGGCAGTGCAATAATTCAGTTCCAATTTTATTGTAAAACCTCAGTATCTGAAAGCACATGTGAAAGTGGTTTGCGGATTGTTGGAGGTGGGGAGTGATTGTGTGTGTAAACATTGTTTATTTACAAAAATAAAAAGTGCTATTCTACATATACAAACACATTTTTAGCTCACTGGAATGCCACCTTGTTGGATACTCTCTGCAAAAATGCTAGTTCCGAAGTTCCAGCCAATTTCAAGTATTCAAGTCTCAAGATATGTGCTCAAAAAACATTCCTGTTTATTTTATTTCTTTTTAAAAGAGCACAGCTTGGTAGATATCTTTAACTGAGTTAGCATTACTGTTTCCTATTACAAGCCTCAGTAGTTTTACTTCTGCAGTTTATTTCACTGGTTTTGGTGTTTGCTCACTTCTGCATTGAATTATAAACAGTGATTAGTTCTGTGCTGTTTTCTGATTGGTATATCTTTCCTTTTTGCATCGATTGCAAATAGATGAAATATTAACACCAGCAAAAGATCCAGCAAATGTCCCCAGACGCACCAAAATTAGTCACTCTTTTGAATATTTTTCTTTTAAAAATTGTTTTGTAAAATCTAAATCCTGAGTATAAATTATGTGTCATGGTTGAAATGAGCAGAAAATATTTTTCCTACCAACAGAAATCCAGTGAAATATGCTAAAGATTAAGTTTTATGTAAAAAGACTTCCCTGTTTCATTTGCCCATTTTATCCAATTTTTTTCAAATTTTTAGAAGTATGTAAATCCCATTTGAAAAACACCCTCTGCTGTACTATGAATAGAGCTTCTAAAGGGATTAAAACCGAGCCTGCCTGACTGCTGCAAACAGAATTGCATGTATAAACTTTCTAAACCTTAATGATTTGTACCTGTTTGGCAACTGCAAGCTAAGGGCATGCTAATGTAATTCCAGTTCAGGCAAAGAAATGTAAATCATAGAGCTTTACTTGCTGCTAACCACTTTTATCATAAAGACCACAAGTACACAGCTGCAGCATCAAGTGTAACGTACAGACTCTGGATACTCAAAGATGTTCCTTTGGAGGTTGGTTTGATGACTGGGAGTTTGCACTGGGGTAGTTGAAGCAACTTGGCTGGGTGGTGCTAGCAGTCCCCTTTCCTGTGCTATCACCCCAGTCTGCTGCTGCTGCTGCTGCTGCTGCTGCTGAGGACAGTGCTTGTCTTTAGGCATTGCACTCACCTGCCCCTGCCCCTGCCCCTGCCCCTGCCCCTGCCCCTTCCCCTTCCCTTGAATCAGGAACAGCAGCTGTGCTGTTTGAATCACCAACATACAAAAATACAGGGAAAGGCAAAAAGGGAAAAGGAAAAAAGAATACTGATGTTATATTGAGCCTCTCTTGAGAAACACAGCAAAGTGCTGTGTGTAGCCTGTGCTAGACTGTTTCTGGCCACCTTTGAACCCTGGGTTGTTCCTGGAACTGGAGTGTTTGGGATGCAGGTGCAGTTATCAACTCATTTTACACTCCCCCTCTGCACCGGCAAAGCAGTAACCCTCCTGTGATCCTACTTTCCTCATAAAATGGATAGATTTGTTTAGACTTTCATAGGATGACAGCATAAATAAATATTGCAAGATGAATCAATTACCAAGGCTGGTTATATCTGCTAAGAGATCTTTATCAGTAATAAAAAAGGGAAAGTTGTCTTACCATCCTACAAGTATAGTGAAGCAAGAGAAGAAGTGGTGCTCTGAACAGAAAGTAAGGTGCTAAAAATACAATTGGGCCCCAAAGCTCAGGCATGCACAGCAAAATTACAATAGCATTCTTTTCCAATGCTCAATGCATCTGCACCTTGGAGGAAAGCCTTGGTTTCTACCAGCACCAGGGCAGGCAAGGCTTATATTTTCTTCATCTGTATGAAAGCAAAATGTATTTGAGGACATGCCTTGGGTCTGCATAGCACTCAGGGATGGAGTTGCTTCTGTCCACAAGTTTAAGCATGTCCATGGTCCAGAGACCATGAATAGTGGTCCAGTCCCCAGCAGAAAATGGATCTGCCTCAGGGAGTCTGTCATTTTTGGAGAGGAATTGAATGTCATGGCAACCCACAGCTGCCTCCTCTGGCCAAGCCTCCCCTGGTGTGGGATCCATCCCACTGCCAGCCCCTCTGATTGTACTGCCAGGAGACCAGTGCAAATCATCAGCAATGTGCTCATATCCCTGCCTTCTTAATGGACTAAAACATTGGAAAATAGATCATTTTCTGTTTTAATGAGTGTTGCCCATTATTCACAGCCTACACACAAGATGTCATGATTTTCAATTTTGCTGCACTGATCACTCAGTCCATCTGACAGCTGACCTTCAGGTTGTCATGGTTTTTAAAAAAAAAAAAGGAAAAAAAAAAAAACCAACAAAAACCCCAAACACCCATTACCAACATACCAGAAAAGCAAAATAATCCTAAATGAGGCAGTAAGGATCTCACGTGCAAAACGCTGTGAGCAGAGCTGCCACTGTCCACAGCAGCCAGATGCTTCTCCAGCAGTGGGAGAAGCTTGGGTTCAGGAGAGCATCATCAGGGTGGGTGGGGTGCTGGACTTCGCTCTGCAAACCATGGCAGCACTTGCTGAACAAGTTTCTGCTACTGTTTTTACAGTGTTAGGGACATTTCTTATCACTGGTACTGAAATCAGAGGATGGCAGTAAATCTTACACAAACTTTTTACTGTCACTGTTGTATATGGGTGTTAGCCAGGGACATTTTTAACAACCAAAAGGAATTAAATCTGAGCAAATGAAAAAGTGAAAATAATAACACTTTGCCAGCCAGAAACAGTTGCAGCAGGGCCCAGGGCCCAGCATCATTCAACATTCTCCCAAAGAGTTGAACTATACAGAGATTACCTAAATAAGCCAAAAAAGGTGGTATGCTCTAAGAAGCAAGTGCTGCTGTTGCCTGAATCTGGAGTAACTTATTTGAATTGCAGGTAATAAATAGCCCAATTAAACAGATGTAATGACTTCTAAATGCCTGCTCAAAGTCAAAAGGAGATGCATGTATTTTTCCAGCACAGTTTCAGTTGTGTTTATCAAGTCAAGCGGTAAAATGAAGAAGCATAAGTTCCTGTAAATTGTTGATTAGAAAACATAGATTTTTACTCTCTTTCAGATGATGCTTCCTGGTAGAACATTAAACTGGAATAAATTTCAAGATTGAAATCTGTTTAAACAAGTGGCAATTTTTAAAATGCTTTAATTCTGGGTTGACAGGAACTTTGCCTCCAACATATACCATAATTGTGAGTGCTCTTGATGAATCAGATCCATTTTTTATTTCAGCTCAGGACTTTTCCACTAAAAGATCTTTGAATGAAGAGGACTAAAAGCCATATACAAAGCCAATTAGATACAGATCACATTCCTACTGGTACATTATATACAGTTTGCAAACAAAAATCGGTATTTTGGGCTTGGGACCCCTTCATTCACAGAAGCATGGTTATGGTCCTAGGAGACAGAGGCAGCTGATGTGCAACCATAATGCAAAGCAATGCAGAGGTGCTGGGGAAGGATTCTTGGAGCTGGTAGTTAATGACATTGTGGAAGAACCCACTGATGGTGTTTGGGGAACATTACTGTGTGTTTTTAATGCTGTGATACATGATTGAGTATGAATTCTGTACATCTGGGAGGATGTCAAATTCCAGGTGACATTTGGAATGTTGCAATTAAGTTATTACAAAGACTTTTGAAATAAACAGGAGAAAAAAATGTTGCCTGGGATGTGTATGTGAGTACTGGGTTTCTTCTGAGCATGGAGAGTGGAATGCGAGGCAGAAGCCCCTCCTGAGAGATTCCCTTGTAAATGGATGGCCTGGAGACCTCGGAGCTATAAGGGGAGACCCCAGAAGTCCCCAGATGCTGACTAAACTGTGTGTGGTCAAGCAGAACCAGGTGGGATAATAACTGGTGTGACAAGCTTCTAATGCACAGGATGGTCACCTGTTAAATTTTGCAGCTGAGTGATCCTTTGCTTTCCAATAAAAGGGAGAGCAGATGGAAACTGTTTGCTCTGTAAACAGTTATAAGGAACTCATGATATATCCCCTCTCCACAGCTTCCATTCAAATCAATAGGATCCATCTGTCCAAGGTATTAAGATAAATCCTGGAAATTTTGGTATTGACGAGTAATGCCCTTAAAAGATCAATCACACAGCAAACAGAGAAATGTCATTGCACTAAATACTGAGGCTTGCTAATCCTGCTAGATAACATGGACCCAAAGTGCAAACCTTTCTGGTTTATAACCCAGCTGAAGCCCCTGTTGCTGTCCCCAACTCCTCAGATAATAAAAACAAGCCTTGGAGAGAGCTGGTGCTGGGCACATGCTCTGGAGGGCATCTGCTGCACCTGCTGCTGCTGGGACACCCAACCAGTCACACAACCTGCAAGGGCTGGTTTGACAGCCTCTCTTGCCAAAACACACACAACTTACTTTCCTGGCAGAAAGGATAAGGGCTGAGGAGTGGCAGCCACCAAAAGTTATGCTGGGCCCAGCAGCAAAGGAGAAAGGGAAGATGTTGGCTGTCTAGCACTGATTCCACTGACCTTAGGTGTCCTCAAAAATGGTGTGCAGGGACTCCAATTCCCCTGAGATTTATTCAGGGCCTTCCATTTTTTAAAGAAATTAAAATTTTGGAATATTTCAGTTTCTTCATACTTCCAACCATAAAGTTCTCCATCATAGTGTATGTGAGGAAAATCTTACTAATCTGGTAAATACTCATAATTTCTGCAAATGCTTTTTTTTTTTTAAATAACAATTACACTTTCTACACCACTCCATTTTGATGTTACTGTTCTGGTACCTTACTGGTTGCAAACATATCCCTTCCTGGGGAACCACCAGGAATCACCACTACCTCAGCTCAGGGAAAACAAGAGGCACTGAGCTCTGCTCTCCAAGAAGGCAGCAAAGCAACTGAGGGGAAGAGGAAACTCACCTGGATGAGCAGCACCAGCAGCTCCAACAATTGCTCTCAAGATCTCTCAATGGCCTCATCCTGGTGTAAACAAAAGGCCACTGAGAAAGCATCCAGCCGTGGTGTGTATCAGGAGGTGGGAGAAGGCAACCAGCTCTCCTGGAGACAACTTCCATTGTGTCTGCTGCTGGTTGCATCTGCCTCCCTCAGGTCTGGGCTGGCTCAGACCCTCAAAGACCTCTCTAGGAGCAGATACAGGGCTGCCAATACCCAGCCAGAGCGTGTGTCTGCCTACAGGCACCCCAAAACCTCTCCAGAGGCAGGAGTGTAAAAACAGCCCTTACTCCAATTTATTGCAAGGAGAATTCAAGCCTCTCATAATGGCTGTATTTATATTTATATTTATGTTTACATTTACATTTGCATTTATATTATGCTACATTACTAGGTGTCTACTGAGATAATGGGGCTGCCTCAGGTTGCCAAATGTGTCCCTGGGATTTTATCACATGCACGTACTGGTACCAGCTGATTGTCCTGGCTGTCTGCCAATATGTCACCACTGCACCACACTGGCTTCCCCCTGTTCCAGCATACCCCACAATGGGCACGTGTGCATTTCTGACACCTCCATCCTGCTCCCAGCTCACTGAGAGGTAACAAAAGGCGTGGTCTTAATTTGGAGAGAAGTGAGTGTGCTGGACAGCACCCTACACGAGGGCTGGTGTGTACATGGTGAGGCAGTTACAGATGATTCATGAGATTCTGTGCAGTGGGAAAGGAGTAGCCAGGTGTGGGTTGGCCTCTTCTCCCAGGCAACCAGTGACAGGCCAAGAGGACACAACCTCAGGTTGTGCCAGGGGAGGTTCAGGTTGGACATCAGGAGGAATTTCTTCACAGAAAGGATTGTTAAACATTGGAATGGACTGCCCAGGGAGGTGGTAGAGTCATTATCTCTGGAGGTGCTCAAGAAATTAGTGTATGTGGCATTTATTGGCATGGTCTAGTTGACAGGGTGGTAATTGGTCAAAAGTTGGACTCGATGATCTCAGAGGTCTTTTCCAACCTAACTGATTCTGTGATTCTGTGATTCTGTGATTCTCTCTACCGTATCCTAAAAGTACATTTTGTGCAACTATTACATTTATATAGGAAGATTACATAAAGGTTAAAATCCACCTCACCCTGGTCATGTAACCAGTTATTTTGGTGGAAATGACGCTATTTAAATGAGTGATCCAAAAAAGGTTTTACCTGAAATACCCTTGAAATATGCTGTAGAAGTCATTAAAGCCCTCACCATGCCCTCTGTTTGTCTCTTTGCTTTTATCCAGTTTAATTGGTCTCTTACCCCATTTATTCCTCTGTCTGCTTCCAGGTCTTCCGTTTCCTTCCCACTGCTTTATTCTCCCAAACTAAAGCTGTGTGTGAACTTGTGACCTGCTGAAATCAGTGACAAAACTTCCCTGGCTGAGCTGATCACCACACAGGCTATAAAAATAAATCACACCCTCGTGTTGGCTCTAAATGTCCCTGTTCCCCTCCACTCCCCAAGCAATTCCTTTGGAGGATGAAATACCATCACTGGGGGCAATTGAAAACAGTTCATATCCTGTTAGGATTACAGGTTTAAAAATCTAAGTGCCAGGGAAAAAAAGCATTTGCAGTTTTTGTAGGAAACAAACTCCCACAAGAAACATATAACTTAATTTTGCTGTCAGATGTTCCCACAGACTCCTCTTGAAAGTCAACCAAAGCTGTATATATGTGCCTCAAATCAGTGTTTAAAAAAAAATTGGATTTATATTTAGATTGTCACCCTCCAGTCATTCAAAATGGTTCATGTGGGAAGTTTTTAATGCTGTGATCAAACCCTTTATTTTAGAATTTATTGGCATTCGAGTGTCACGGCAATGCCACATCATTGGCTTGGAGCCTGCTGGTCCTCCTGCAACCCGAGAGATCTTGCACAGACTTAAGGTCCCTCTCTGGGAGAGAGGTCATCTGCTGTATCCCCAAATGGACAGTGAGCACCTGAGACAGACCCTCATAAAAAAGATGTTGGGAGTCACCAAAATCGAGCAGAGTTGGCCTCAAGACTCACCTCCTCAGAGTTACAAACTGCTTTCCTTCACAATGTTATTTTGTTTTATTGCAACCTTAGCCAGCAGAACCTGAAGCAACACATTTGCATGCCTTGGGGCAGATGGGCTTGCAGGGAAGTCTTTTTTCCTGTTCAGTCTTCTGCATGAAAACTTCTTTTTACCTCTAACACACACATCATGTCGACACCAAGAGAGATGTCCTGAGTGATTCAGCCCTGGAGCAGAGGTGAAGGACTGGGCACATTTTCTCTTTAAGCACATTTGCAGATCTAGGAGTGAAAGCCCCCCTGCCTCACCCCGACAGCTGCAGGTGGATGGGAATTGGGCAGAGTTTTATGCCCATATATCCATCATTACCTAAATGTCAATCAGTTGGCAAAATACTGCAAAATACTCTCCCTTCTTATGCTTCTGGTAAATTAGAGAAATTAATGGATCTACTGCATCCATAACTGACGTGCTTGGGTTTGCTGTGCTTAGAGTGGCCACCTAGTTGCACCTCTTTGCTTTCAGTATGGTTCATCTCCTACCATGTATTACACTGAGGGCAGGCATGTGCACTAGAGGCAACTGGATACTGATAGACCAGTGCTGTGCCGTTCCTCAGCTCTTCTGTCTCCTAACAGAGATAAACCCTCCACCCTTGCTGAGCCACAGACCAGTGGCCATCCCTACCCCTTCCTGGAGGAACTGTATGGGACAAGTGACTCCAAGTTTCTGCTCTTTCATTAGGAAATATGTGGGAATTTGACGATGTCTTCCAAGGAGGAATTCCTACTAACCTGTGACATCCACGAAAGGACAACTGTTTAGCCTAGGACACTACTGCAGCTTCATGACATAGCAAAATAAGTGATGAAATCAGTAGAGGGACCAAACCCAGGAGGGCTCCTCTGGGATAACATGAAGGGTCCCTTTGCTCTATCCACATGCCTTGGGCTCACTCCTGCCTGGTCAGACAGGATCTGAATTCTTCTCCTGCACTCCTGGCCAGAGACATGTCCATGCCAGGAGCTGCAACAACTCCCTGTCTCGTTACATCAACTGCATTTGCAATGCAAAATCAAACCAATTCATCTGAATCATACAGAGAGAGAAACACTCATTCCTGAAATCTCTGCAAATTGGGTAAAAACCATCAGCAATTGAAAAGGAACAAGTCAATACTGGATGAGATTGTTCATATCCATTTAATCATGTTGAATTTTTGCTCTTGGCTCTTCATGACTATAAGTAAGATCTTGATTTGTACCAAGATTTATTTTTAGCTCTCATTTTCCAAAATGTAGGTACAATTGCGCAACCTCTTGTGAGCATAATCTGTATTATTACTGAAGAGGTGATATATTCCTATGTATATCTAATAGATGATGGTAAATGTTAGCAGGTCCTTGAGATCTGCAAGTTCATTTAAGCAGAAGTTACCTTATATTAAAAACTGTTATAGGCAGTTAGAAGCTGTATCCACAGCCCTGTAGCGAAAAAAATGAACCATCAAGAATAATTTTTTAGTCACTGTTTCCATCTGAAGTGCAATTACCTTTTTTCTAAATCCTCAATAACGAGAAGCCTGTGGATGAATCAGATACTCCATCTTTGCTCCCTTCTGTCACTGGTACTTCTATTGCTGGTGATTTCCAAGCACCTCATGACCAGCTGTAAGCTTACCCACAAGTCTCTGAATGAGAAGTTTT